TGTATGCGGTGATCTCGGATATGTCATTGCCAACACCGTCCCATCACAGGTCAAACGTTATTCCTGTTGTTGGTTTAAAGACCGCTTTTGATTGGCTGGCGACGACATTCAGTGAAAGCGGGACTACAATTACCGCAGTGCGATTAGAGCGCAAGCCCCAGAAGCCAATCAGATTGAAGATGACCACAGAGCCTGACGACGATAGCAGATATAAAAAAGGTTAGATGTGAGCAGCCGCTTGTGGTTTACTTTTCTCACTAATGGCGAAGTAAGTCGCGCATTTTTAGTATGCTAGTGTTATCATCACATGACATTAATTTAACGAATGTGCGTCTTTCCCGCAGATTGGTTCCTCTTCTTCTTCTTCTGGCGATGGTCGCTGTGGCGAGTTCGGCGACTGCGAGCACCACCGAAGAACCTGGCCAGACACCAGTAGTAGACTTCGCTCATGGTGACCGTGGACGGTGTCACGAATATCGGCCGGAAGAAGGCATGAGGTGTGCCTATTACGGAATGAGGCACTGCATGAAGTGCATGTTGAAAAAGCACAATTGTTGCATACCACATGATTGGCCTCGTAGCTGGAGGGTGACGAAAGCTTACAATCATTGCAAAAGGTGGCTGAGGAGGTAATAAAGACGTTGAAAGCAGAGGCTTTCTTTTTTATAACCAGTGAAGGGATTTTCAGAGTGGAGGGCAGTAAGCATGATTAACGAGTACAAATAGTTATGTGACCGTGTCCGACTTCTACCAACATGCTAGTATTTTATGTTAAAGTCACGACGTGGTGGTGGTGGACAGCATCACTTTAACTGCAGTGATAAGTGGGCTTTTGGATAAATAGGGTCTCCCAAGCTGGGTCACTTACTCGGTATCCGGTCAAGTGAAGGTAAAAGCATGGACGAATGCGCCGGTGGGGGTGTGGGCAATTTGTGGTTGACCTGAGGCTTAGGCTGCCTCCTAGATCTACAACGAGTCTCGTCTGTACTCTTGGTGAACGCATCGACCAATGCAGCATTGTAAAGAACATCTAACTCGATATACCTGTTGATGTGTCTGGGTGCATGGCCTCGAGGAATTCTCGGCCTTCCTTTAAAGGACAGACAGAGTCATTTGGAAAAGGTATTTCCAGTGTCCAAGTTGGGACAGGTGGTCTCACCTTTTCATCACAAATTGATATTCGTGAATGCGCACGCGGTCGAATTTACCAGTCTGGCCGGAAAAAACTGCATCGCACGCTCCACACAATTTATTTCTTGGCCAAATAGTTAACCCTATCCTTGGGGTGTACTTATCGAGGAGTGTTAAGTCTAGGAAGGCTTAACCTTAACAACTGCCAT